GACAACGGCCTGCTTCTCCTCCGCACCTGCGCAGAACACCGCCTCATCCTGACGAACACGTTCTTCTGTCTGCCGGAGCGAGAGAAGGCCACCTGGAGGCATCCTCGGTCGCGTCAGTGGCACCTGCTGGACTATGTCCTCGTCCGGAGGCGAGATCAGCGGGACGTGCTGGTGACGAAGGCGATCGCGGTTGCTGACGGGTGGACCGACCATCGCCTCGTCATCTCGAATATGCGTATTCGCCTACAGCCTCGCAGGAGACCACAAGGTAAGCGACCCCTAGGTAAGCTGAATGTTGCTTTGTTGTCTTTGCCTGCTCACCGTCTCCATTTCAGCAATGAGCTAGCTCAACGGCTAGACAACCTTCCTATCGCTGCCGCCGCCGCCGCCGCTGCCGAGAACGCCTCCGTGGAGAACCGCTGGTGTCAGCTGCGAGACACGGTCCAGTCGACGGCTCTCGCCGTCCTCGGTCGCGCTCCCGCCAACACCAGGACTGGTTCGACGACAACGACGCCGCCATCAGAAATCTGCTTGCTGAGAAGAACCGCCTACACAAAGCCTACGTAGATCATCCCACTGAGGACAACAAAGCTGCCTTCTACCGCAGTCGCCGACAGCTTCAGCAACGACTGCGCGAGATGCAGGACGCCTGGACTGCTCGCAAAGCTGAGGAGATCCAAGGCTACGCGGACCGCAACGAATGGAAGAACTTCTTCTCCGCGATCAAAGCTGTCTACGGTCCGCCGACGAAGGGCAGTGCTCCTCTCCTCAGCGCCGACGGCAGCACTCTCCTGACTGAGAAGACGCAAATCCTACAGCGATGGGCCGAGCATTTCCAGGGCGTCCTCAACCGCCCTTCCGTCATCTCCGACGTTGCCATCGCCCGCTTGCCGCAAGTGGAGACCAACGTGGACCTCGACCTCCCGCCATCTCTCCAGGAGACCATCAGGGCCGTGCAGAAACTCTCCAACGGGAAAGCACCCGGATCGGACGCAATCCCTGCCGAGGTCTACAAGCACGGAGGTCCCCAACTCATGGATCACCTGACTGCGCTCTTCCAGGAGATGTGGCGTCAAGGTGAAGTCCCGCAAGATTTCAAGGACGCAAATATCGTGCACCTATACAAGCGGAAAGGGAATCGCCAAGTCTGCGACAATCACCGCGGCACCTACCTACTGAACATCGCCGGGAAGATCTTCGCTCGCATCCTGCTCAACCGCCTCAATAACCATCTGGAACAGGGCCTTCTGCCGGAAAGCCAATGCGGACTCGGTCGCTATCGTGGGACCACGGATATGATCTTCGCAGCCCGCCAACTTCAGGAGAAGTGCCAGGAGATGCGGACCCACCTGTACTCTACATTCGTGGACCTGACGAAAGCCTTCGACACGGTGAATCGCGAAGGACTGTGGAAGATCATGCAGAAATTCGGCTGTCCGGAGCGATTCACTCAGATGGTGCGTCAGCTGCACGACGGTATGATGGCGCGAGTCACGGACAACGGAGCTGTCTCAGAGGCATTCGCAGTGACCAACGGAGTGAAGCAGGGCTGTGTGCTGGCGCCTACCCTCTTCATTCTCATGTTCTCTGCCATGCTGATGGACGCCTACCGCGACGAACGCCCCGGGATCCGCATCGCCTACAGGAAGGCGGTCGTCTCCTGAATCAACGGCAATGAACTTCCCATCGCGTGTACTGTCAACCAACGTTCACGAACTCCTCTTCGCCGACGACTGCGCCTTGAACACCACCTCGGAAGCGGAGATGCAGCGGAGCATGGACCTATTCTCCGCCGCCTGCGAGAACTTCAGTCTGATCATTAACACGCAGAAGACAGTGGTGATGCACCAACCGCCACCCAACTCAGCCACAGCCCCCAACGCGCCGCCGCCAATCAGCGTGAATGGGACTTAACTGCAAGTGGTGGAGAACTTCGCATACCTGGGCAGTACGTTCTCCCGGAACACCAAGATCGATGACGAAGTCGCCAACAGAATCGCGAAAGCCAGTCAAGCCTTCGGTCACCTCCAAAGCACAGTTTGGAATCGTCATGGTCTCCAACTGAGCACGAAGCTGAAGATGTACAAGGCCGTCATCCTGCCGACGCTAATTTACGGAGCTGAGACGTGGACGGTGTACACGAGGCAGGCACGCCGACTGAACCACTTCCACCTCTGTTGTCTCCGCCGCATCCTGAGGCTGAACTGGCAGGATCGAATCCCCATCCTCGCTCCACCGTCACACGCTGCGACCACCACCACCGCCACCAAAACCACTGCTTCCTCTACAGCTGACACCGATACCGCCAACCTCTCATGCCCACATTGTCCACGCACCTTCACCTCACACATCGGCCTGGTCGGTCACTTGCGAATCCATCGCACAGAGACTGGCGAACCAGAGCCTGGAGCACCAACCTACACCCACCGCACTCGCCTCCACTGCCCACATTGCCCTCGCACCTTCACGCATCGCATGGGTCTATTCGGTCACATGCGCATCCACGACGACCTGCGGTAGACAACCGCCGGTCACACCACACATTCCCTCACTCCCTACCTCCTAACACCATCACCCAACCAGACATCAACCCCCACACACCTCATGCACTCAACTGCGGCCTCCCACGCAAGTGGGAAGTGTGCATCTCGACTCGGTCCCCATGCGGCTTCGGCTGCACGAGTGACTTGAGTCCGAGACTATCCCGACACGTCAAGTGTCGTGGATAGGAAGGTTGCTGATTGAGGCCCGTTCTCGGTTCACGCAGTTCGTCACGTTGTGTGTGTGTGTTGTGTAGTGGCGGACTGGTGGGCTGGGGACGGGCTGAAGCAGCACCTTCCACGGCCCTCTCACGCAAGTGGGAGACACGCCGTTCTACCCCCGTTGTGTGAAATCCTGGTGTTTGTGTGTGTATGGGGGGCCAGGTCGTGCTGTGGCGCGCGCAGGCATGGTCAGTCGACCATGTCAGCCACCGCGCCCATTCCCCACTCCAGTCTACTGACCGGCTCGGACAGCGGCTGATGTGTGGGGATGGGAAGGGAGAGTGAGGTCGACGACTCAGCGCATTTTCCTCACTATACTTAATCTGACGCGCTTGAAGCTATCACGGTGCGCTAAAAGCCGTGGCTTGGAAGGTTGCCAACTGACGGGGTACCTTGGACCTCCTCCTTCACGGGAGGCGGTCTGAGAGTCAGGCTGCAATGGCTCCTTTTTAATGTGGCCTTTATGGAATTCCCACCACAGTGTGGGATCCGAGCCAGGCGTTGGCGGCACGCCCAGGTCGGCTTCGGCCGTGCCAGCCTCCAAATCTCTGTTGTGTTGGTTGAAATCCTGGTTATTGTTGTGTGGACCAGGGGTGTGGTGGAACGCCAAGGTGAGGATCCGTCCGATCCATCCACCGGCGGCCTCCCTCGTCTCCGGTCTTCTTGACTCTGTCTTGACACCGGGCCCAGGCGGGGGAGGAGGAGAGAGTGTAGGTAGATGCAGCGCAATTCTACCGGCACAATAAACCCCTGCGCAAGTCACCGTCCCTGCTCTCACAATGCAGTCTGTTGGGCACAAAGTGGTCATCGTCGAAATCGACGGACGAACTGTCGTGTGTGTGTGTGTGTGTGTGTGTGTGTGTGTTGTGCCCTCCAAACGGGCCACGTGTTAGATGCGCTGGACCAACACGGGGGCCACATCGGACTCTGGCAGGCGTTATCTGTGCGCAATAACAAATGCCAACATTTGCGGGGTGCGCTGGCGGACCCTGTTGTCGGCATTCGTCGCTCAACTGGACCACTGCCTCCACCCCATTGTTTTGTGGTCAAAATCCTGGTCATTGGTGTGTGGACCAGGGGTGCGGAGTGGAGCGCCAAGGCGAAGATCCGTCCGAGCCATCCACCTGCGGCCTCCCCCGTCTCCGGTCTTCTTGACTCTGTGTTTACAGCGGAGACGTGCGGGGGAGGAAGAGAGAGTGTAGGTAGATGCTACGCAAGTCTACTGGCACTATAAACCCCTGCGTAAGTCACCGTCCCTGCTCCCACAATGCAGTCTGTGGGGCACACGGTGGTCATCGTCGAAATCGACGGACGAACTGTCGTGTGTGTGTGTGTGTGTGTGTGTGTGTGTGTGTGGGCGATCGCGGGTGCTGACGGATGGACCGACCATCGCCTCGTCATCTCGAAGATGCGTATTCGCCTACAGCCTCGCAGGAGACCACAAGGTAAGCGACCCCCAGGTAAGCTGAATGTTGCTCTGTTGTCTTTGCCTGCTCAC